CAGTCCATGGTGGGGGGGTGAGGTAGTGAGGCATTAGGCATTATAACCAGCTAGCTTTTCCAACAGAGAGAAGGCTAATCATATGTTTATGATTTAAAAAGGAAACAGGAAATTTGTGAGGCTGTTAATTCATGCTAATTGATGTTAAAGGATCTGATAAATAAAGCCAGTATAAATGAGCGAAGACTCAGAGCTGCTGCAGAACACTGAGTCCGTCCTCTTTGTCTTCCAGGTCCAGGTCTGGCCTTCATTGCATATCCTAAGGCGGTCAGTCTGATGCCGGTAGCTCCACTCTGGGCCGCTCTCTTTTTCTTCATGTTGTTGCTGCTTGGACTCGACAGTCAGGTGACCCAAAAACAACGCATCCTATCTCTAAACCTACATCCTCAAAGCCTCTTATGTGGGATTGTTGGTATTGTAATTTCAAACATGTTTTCCTGTATACTACACCACGCACCATCAGGCTAAAAGTTGACCCAAACAAAAAATTCTCCCACGACTGGAGAAATTACCCGAAAAGAGCAAAAAAATCATACAGTGTACGCTGGACTTAATTGAAATGTCAGCCAGAATCTTCTCCCCAATGCCGAGGTACTGGGATCAATCCTCACATGATGAGACACAGACTTAATCTGAGAACTTTCCTAATCTGCCCAAAGTACCGTGTAGATGGCCGAGCGGGATTATCCCAGAAGGATATTTGATGAAATGCTGATGGGCAGATACCCGACGATGCCTTCAGGCTCTAACGGTCGGGCTGTTTTGTGTCCCCGCAGTTTGTCGGCGTAGAGGGCTTCGTCACGGGGATTCTGGATCTGTTTCCCGGCGGTTATTACCACCGATACAAACGTGAGATCGCCGTGGCGATCTGCTGTTTACTCTGCTTCGTTATCGACCTCTCCATGGTGACACAGGTCAGCAGGAAAACCTTTCAAACCAGGAGGCCAGGTATTATTTTCAGCGTATGATTTCCCCTGATAAACACGGAGCTGTTTGTCTCTGCAGGGAGGAATGTACGTCTTCCAGTTGTTTGACTACTACTCAGCCAGCGGGATGACGCTGCTGTGGCAGTCATTCTGGGAATGCATTGTGGTTGCCTGGGTCTATGGTATGACACACACACACACACACACACACACACACACCCTGTGGTGTAACATTGCAGGGTGGAGCAGCTCTGAGGGATCCTAAAATAAGATGTAAGATCAGATCTGAACTCCAAGTAAAGGTCAAAGTTCAGACCCTTTAGTTTTAATTTGGCCGTTTTCTTCAGGGGTTTTTTCGTCAATAGTTCTTGACTTTGCTAGATTTAGTGTTTTTTTTTTTAAATGGGTCCTCATTCAATTATTTCTGACTGAAATTCTTCAGGCACATTGAGGAAATAATTAATTAAGTGTATTTACCCTTAATTTGAGAAGGTAAAACAGTAGATTTGCCAATGGAATGAGTATTTTAGACTCTTAAAATAAGATTATTAGATAATATGCACTTGAAATCCTTTATTCTAAATGTAAATTATCTTTTCCATCGTCAAATTGTCTCACTTACTTCCCTAATTCAAGACAAAATGCATTTATTTTAAGAAAAAAATACTTATCTAGATTTCTACTTTGCAATGAAAACGTCTCACACCCCACTGGAAAAAAATCAAAATCTAGATAAATCATTTTTTCTTAAAATAAGTGCATTTCTTCTTAAATTGAGGAGATTAAAGAGACAGTTTGACAATGGAACAATACAATTTAGATTTAAAATAAGAAAACACAATCGCATCTTCTTATTTCAAGTGCATTTCATCTAATTGTCTTATTTTAAGGGTAAAAATATTCATTCCATTGGCATATTGTCAAATTTACCTATTCAAATCAAGGGTAAATACACTTAATTTAATAAATTTTTACTTATTTCTAGATCATTTTTGCAGTGAGGGAGTTGGGGTCTAAGTTGCTGATGCCTCACAGACACACCGATTGCCTTATAAACCCACAGCAGGTCTACAGACTGCTGATTGTTTCTAAGCTGAACATGAGCAGGTTTAGTGATTCACATCCTGTCCTCATATCCCAGAGGGTGGGTTCTGTTATTTTCAGCGTCACTGAATGCAGCTAGTGGTTATCTCTGACCTTGTTAACGGACCTATTCAGTTATCAGTGTTTGGGCTGCATTCATGCAATGACTTCTAGACAACGTGGCAGGTTGGTGACAGAGGTGTAACTCAGAGCGTCATCAGTGTAGAATAGAAATACCCTCATATTCAGAGCAAACACTGGAAAAAATACAAATCTAGATACCGTAAGTCATTTTCTTCTTAAAATAAGTGCATTTGTTCTGTGGTTGGGGAGGTAAAAGAGACATTTCGCCAATGGAACAAGATGATATCACTGTACTTTTCAGTAAAGATAACTTTAAACTAGTCTTAACTTTAAAGAAATACACTCTATAGATTGCTAATGTGGTAAATTACTATTCTAGCTGCAAATAGATAGATATAGAGGCCCATTTCTAGCAACTATCACTCCAGTGTTCTAATGGTACAATGTGTTTGCTCATTGGCTC